CTGCTGCTGTGCTGTTTAGAAGGTCATCTCCCAATCTGTAAGTGTATTGGTGATTCCTCCTCCTTAGGTGCAGTACTTTGCCCTTATCTTTGTTAAATTGCATCCTATTTTGTTCCCCCCACTCACACCCCCCGCCTCTCCCTCCAAACTCCTGATTTTTCCTTTTTTTGCATTTACTAGAAAATGTACTTCTGTCAGTGTCTGTATCTACAAACAAGGAAGAGAGGAGGCAAGAGAAACCTTACTGGTGGAAGCACAAATTGCAGCTGGGACAAGAGACATTAGATGCTATGTCGCTGTAGTGATAAGCTATAGCAACTTAGCTTGTTGCTACAACGTACAGTCATCAGGCACAAACTGTGATGCTGATGCTACTGTGTAGGGTCAGAAATGACCTGTGTGCTGCTGGGACTGTGCAGTAACAGTAGTTACTGCGCATTTAGTCATAACAACAGCAGCTACTGCACATTAATGACCATGCACTAATAACTGTGCAGTCAGGAGCACGTGTAGATGTACCCATGATGTAGTTTTTGAACCTGCCTAAGATGCGCTGTGCTTCAACTTCTTGAGTTTTTAGAAGAAAACTGGTCTGGAAAAATCCTCAAACTGATAGCAGTCAGTCATATACTCAGTATTTAGGGGCACATGGGAAGAAGTTAAATCAGCCAAAACATATATATTAAAACTGACTTCAAATTAAGGCGCACATCCAATCTCTAATTTTGGGTTAAAAAGAATATAAGTAACAGGTATTCTAAGAGAGAAAATACTGCTGACAAATCTCAGTTACTATCCTATATCACTACAGGGGTTGGACTACATGACCTCCTAAGGTCCCTAGCAGGGGGTTGGGACTAGATAACCTTCTGAGGCCCCTCTTCCAACCCTAAGTTTCTACGATCACCTTAAAAATAAAACTAAAATGAATTACCTGAAATGTCTTCTATGGGGACATACTTCATGCTTTTTTCCACTAAAAAGAAAGTATGCGTGTTACTAGAATAATCTATATTCCAACTTTTTAAAAGTTACTGCACCTTAAATATATCTCTACACACACAAGAAATATTTTGCCCATATTTTTCCCCTAATACATACTATTTTCAGAAAACTCACCAAATAAGTCTTTGTACAATATGGGGTCACACTCTCGTAGGCAGTTTCTGAATATGTTGGCTGCCGAATTTCCTTTCACTAAAATTGTATCAATCACTTCCCTTGCTTGCAATGGGGTTTGGGTTTTTTGTTTAATAACATCATGTTCAAGTTCAGTTATGACTTTAGCTGACAATAAACTCTCCAGGATTGGAAACACACAGGTCAAACGCTGAAACAAAGCCATTCGATTCTTCCTGATTAGTGACAAATCATCTTGAATTCAAGAAGGGTGAGGCAGAAAGAAAGAAAAAGCATTCAGATTTTTTAAAAAAATTCACATTGCAGTGCTATTTAACAGTAAAATCACAATTTTAGAAGATCTTTCAAAATCTTCATTTCACTTTTACCACCCATAAATTAGAAGAACTGTTAACTGACATTTTACTAACTGAAATACTCTATTAACTGGAATTTCCAATATCCCCCCAGTACAAATCCTCTTTTTAGCAACTGGAATCTTTGACGAGTCTATCTGGCATGCACATCAAGTATGGCACTGTCTTCCATGTAACTCTCAAATAACCGGCACCCCCCTTGCCCCACTCATGCCAGATAAAGCTTTTACTGTAAACTGAAGTACATCTAACTTTTTTAATTATGTATCTAGTCTACTGTCAGCCACCCTCCACGCTGTAGCATATCTGAGAATACGGGGAGGAAGAGTTAAGAAAGGAGTTTGGTTTCAACAAGAAATTGTCAGGTAGATTTGTTCCCTTTGTATACCTGAAGCTACTTCCTCAGACTGCCTCTCCCTCTCTTCTTCCCTCTTTTCGTCTTCAGCAGTAAGCAGATCAGACACAAGATCGTTAACTGTCTTATAATTTTCTCCAGTGGCTAAGATTTTGCTCTGAACCGTCTGCTTTATTAATCTTCTGCTAAATCCCATCTCCAACGCAGCTTTAATTACAGGGGTGTTCATCATGATCGCATCTTCGGACCGGCTTTCTCCAGGTTCAAAATGAATAACTATTCAAAAGAAGGGAAAAAACCCCCAAAACACATACACATCATTAGGTGGTTTGAAGTTTTATGTATTTTTAAGCTTTCATCCTCTCTATACAAAATTAGATTAGTATAAGAAGTCAGTCAGTTAATAAAAAGCAAGCTTCGTAAAAAAAAAATCCATTTAGAACTTGGTTAGATTTTATTAGCTGATTTAGATTAAGAGCTTCTTTTCAACAAAAAGACTCAGTTTAAGAACAACAACATTCCCCATGCCCTACCAAATTTCAATTCTATTCATTTAAGTCTAGTCTTGTAAAATTTCCCCTTTTGATATAACTTCTCTCAAGATAAAGTTACCCAGCTAGGAAATTAATGGTAGATTCCAGCTCTACTGTTGATCAACCTAACTGACATCTGCCAAGATAAATGAAGCACTTGAGCATCTTGCTACAGGATATGCACCCCAGTGGAAGTGCATTCCTACTCCGTCTGGAGATTCCACTCAGGAAGGACAGATTTATAGCCCGAAAATGCCTACAGTGTTCCACTGAGCTTGCCCTCTCTTGGCTAGTACCCATTCCTGAGAGCCCTGGCCTAATTGCAGGCAACTCGATTAGTAATAAATCTTGTTAGAGAATGCTGCTAAAATGCTTTATGTGCTGGATTACTCTAGCAGATTCTAGAGTAGCTAAGCACAAGCCTACTATAGAACAGGCAGAGGCCAACTCTAAAATACCATTTTCAGTAAAATCTTCAGGATTGGGAAAAATAGCCAAGATTCAAGACATGTCTTGCAATGAGCCTCAAAGAAATATTATATTTCACGGACACAACACCTTGATGATAATTAAGGGGGGGTGAAAATGGAATACTAAGATCTGCAGGGAAAGATGCAAAATGCAATAGCTTCCTGAAAGTGTTGGAAATTTCTTTGCAAGCTAATCTTATCGAGAATATATATTTACATTATGCTCATCATTCTACTGAAGTTTGCACATGCACTAGAAGTCATAATACCGTGGCAAAAATATACATACTTGATGGATCTGCATTTTCATCTACAGGAGTATCAGATGTTGACAAGAGCTATAGAAAAAAAAACACAAAAACAAAGCAATACCATCAGTATCCAAGAGCCTCTCTCTTTGCATACATCACTGACCATTTAAATGCATTCTAGTCCTCAAAATATTAAAGTACCAACATTAAGATCCTGGTTTAGTAAATCAGTTAGAAGTTTTAACTCAAAACGTTTGCAAAATAGTTGTACAGGCAGTTAAGTGAGCATTACGATTCCTAATGCGGTGGGCACTGAAGATGAGGTAAACACTGGACATTTCTAGTAAAACATGCTTTTCCCTACTAAAAAAGAAATCTGCTCCCCCCCTTGCCAAAGAGGGGCATGGTTTTGAAAAGTTTAATTAAAAATAAATCCCAAACTATGCAGCACTGATTTCTAATCTGCAAGTTACTGATCTAAATTAGTCATGAAGCTTGGCATAATCAGGGCTTCTCTTCATGAGACTGGGGTTCTGAGGCTATGAGACCCGCCCCCACCCCCATACTAAGTATCAGAATGTTTTGATTATAGATGGTGAATACATAATTTGGTCTTCAGGCAACATTTAATTCCAATACCCACATGCCATTTTTTACATCAGTTCTCAAAATGCAGCTTCTCCAAGTAGTTTTGTAATGTGTCAATTGTGGAGAAGAGACCATGAAATAAACATTGATTCCATTCATTTTGGGCAATGTTATTTTTCCTGGCACAAGCTTAACACTCGTATCAGAAGCCTATTACAGCATTATCTAAAAAAGCAGCAAGGGAAAATATATATATAAATTAGGTCCCTTAAATATCAACAGTAACACCCAGAAACCTACATTTTAATTTTTACCTGTTCAAGAAGATGGGGAAACCTTGCCTGAATTTGACTAACAAACTCAATGCCTTTAACACGCAGCAGGTACTCGCATCTGAAACATCAATGAGATATCTGTCAAGTTACAATTTCTATTTTCCCCATAAGACTAGTTAAGAGCTTTGCTGGAAAAAAAAAAAAACTAAAAGCCCAAATTGCTTCCATGAAGTAAGAATTACTTGTTCAAATCCATTTCCAAGTTTCTGAACAAGATATAAATAACATCTTGTTAATACCAAAAAAAGTGTTCAATAACTGATACCATACCAAAAAAGCAGGGTACATACACAATGGCTTATAAAATTCGGGCAACATTTATTTTGATCAAAATACCAGGTGTATGTCAATAAACACCTGGTTACATACCAGCCTCATTAGAGAAAATGAGCACCTGGTTACAGGGTCAGTAGCATAGATGAACTACAGACAAGTTCACTTTTTCATTATTTTAGAGGCCTGAAAACAATGAAAAGCTAAGCAATTAAAAAGAAGTCACAAATTGTATATATGAATCATAGAAAATTAGGGTATATATCAAAATTATACAGGATCGACTTATTCTAATTTATCTGAATAGGTAAGAAATTGTGGTAAAGTTTACTTACTTTGGAAACCACTTAGCATGCTCGATCCAGGGATCATCTCCAGACTCCCAGCACCTCAATCCACCATCACAGCAGAAGCACTTGACATCATCATTGCGACCTTTAAAACCATGATAACAGTTAAGTGTCATGCAACAATAATTGTGCAAATTATTGCAAAAGTGCACACAAATCGTGAAATATGTCAAACCAAACTAAACACATCAACTTTTCTTACCTACGTAATAAAAGCCAGCCTTTGCAAGCTGTTCAGGTCGAACGGGAATTCTAGTTGGCCAGTTTATAAAAGTGTTAACACGTGCCTCGTGGGTTTGCATCTCCCAGTTAGAAACGCAGAAACCTGTTTGATCTCGAGTTTGATTTTCCACAAAAGGGCAGTTAGGAAAGTGTCTCTGATGCTCTGACATGGCATTATCCTTTGGTTCCCAGTTACTCAGTTGTCCACCACAGGTAAAGCAAGCAACTTTGTCTGCTGGCCCTGTGTAGTAAAAACCAGCTTTTGCTAGGTCCGTTGGTGACAGAAAAGTCAGAGGCCACATCTGAAAAGTGCGCAGTCTGGCATCTTCCGTGCTCATTGAAGGATTATAAAACCTCGGTCTCAAAAATGAGATGTCTTCAACTGCCCTAGAAGTTATCGGGACTTGAAGACCACTGGAAAAAGAGCCACTGAAGTAACCAATTTCATCTAAACTTGTAGCCAGGGTTATGGAATGTAAAGGTGGTGACAGGTTGCTCGTTGTGGCCGGAGGTGAAAAGGCAGAATGAGAGGATGATCCAAGGTTGTTTAATGAAAGCAATCCCTGAATGAAGCTGCAGCTAGGATAGAGCTGTTTGTGTTTTTCCATTGCATTATCTCCTTTTTTCCAGTTATCCAACATCAAGCCACAACTGAAGCATTTAACTTTATCTTTAACACCAGTGTAATAAAACCCAGCCCGGGCAAGATTCCTTTCAGACACTGGCACGTTGATGGGGAAAGTAGAAAACGTGGACATTCTGTAGAGTTCACATGACAAGTCATACTTCAGTTCACACAAAGCACTGTATTTCATCATGTTAGCCAGGAATGGGCTATTTTCCATTATGTTCATGATGAACTTTTTTTTTCTTGCGGAAGAATGGGACAAGTCTTTCTCTGGGAGGTAGTTTTGTGCATTGTAGGTGATTTTGAATAACCCCTGAGCCTTATTACAGTAAGGACCTGGAGGTGAAACACTTTGGTTTATAACTTGGAATACACATGTAAATAAAGTTAGTTATACATTAATAAGTTTGAAATGCTTGAAGAAGCCTCCTGCAAAATTACTTAGCATATAAAGTTTATATCCTCTGTCTGGCATGTACAGATAGTCCTTACATAATGTATCAGATGTTTTCCTTATCATATACAGGTTTCCCTCCCTTTAGGAGGGTTCTGTATGTGTGAATTCGCTCTTATGCAATAACCCTTTTTATACCAAAAATTCATTACATGCAAGGTAAATTCACTCTTGTGCGATTGGTGTGGTAGAAGCCCACAGTCAGCTGCTTTGTGCGGTGTATTGCGGGAGTGATGCACACCAAAATATAGTCTCCTGTGTGGATGTGCTCCTCATTCATTGTCTGCAACACATTTCTGTAGTTGCCATCCCCAATATGGTAGTGCCCTGTGCTTGTGCATAGTGTCTACTGTTGGTGAGTACCAAAATTGTCTTGTAGAAAGTGGTAGAAATGGGTCTGGGGGTCAGTACAGTCGAGGTATTGGACCATATCCCTATTTGTTACATTGTGAAGTGGGTTCCCTTTATGCAAATTCGAGTTATGCGCCATTTTCCAGGAACGGATGTACAGCATAAAGTGAGGGAAACCTGTATGTCTGTAAGAAAAGGAATACCCGCCAGCTGGGGAAGAAGAGGAAGTTGATCAAAACCTCCAACTAATAAAGAAACTAAAAGGGATACACCTGTATCTTGATATAAACTCTGATGTCAAGAAAATCAGCCATTGTTTAAAAGATATTGCTATGTATCTAATTAAAATGAAGTTTTCATACATTTTAAAGGTTATTATTTGCTAAGGTGTCACAACTATCCTGAAATTTTAATTGAAAAATTTAAAACAATAGTTTAGTGTGTTCGTAGGCATGAACAGGAAGGCTCCTAGACAACCCAATGTGTATTTTCACATCATTAGGCTGCCAAACAAGACAACCCACCCTTTTTACAGCAGTTTTCATCTAAAAATATGCAAGACACCATAAACAAAATAAATCTAAGTTTATATCTACCTTATGTAAAACAAAGATGTAGTTATGTTAAGAATGGTCCCTGCATACCATTAATGACAAGAATATCCTGCCCTGAACAACTGGTTTGGAATAACTCCAAAGCTTTTGCTTTCATAACATGCTCAATACAGAGTTAGGCAACAGAATTTTAGCCAGGTTGTTCGGCCACAATTGTATCTTTATGGTGTTTAATATAACTAGATGGCTTTTTGTTGGAATATCCCAATATCTTGTGTATATTAACTTCACTGGTCCTGTAAGCCATGTTTATAAAGCAAACAGAATCCTTGCTGGTCAATATAAGCACTGTTAACTTCTTAGTTTCTTTATTTGTGCACAAAACTACCTCCCAGAGTTCAGACTGAAGTCCCTTCTAAGGAGCTTACGTCTCCATGTTGAGATTTGTTGCTCACAAGAAGAAATTGTAAATGTTTATAGTTTGAACCACTGGATTCCTTTCTGCTGCCAAAACCTGTAAAGGAGGGGGAAAGAAAGTATTTGTCAGTAAACAAACAAACAAAACAAACAGAGACAGGCCCTTAATGTTTCCAATCAAGACTATTTAAGAATTATCAGAATACTGGAATACTAGAATCCCAAAGCAGTTTTTTGAGATGGCTGGCTGGTATGTTTTAAATGTGGAGAACCCCCTCCCAGCCCTTTCCTTATTAATACACATTAATAACTAAGGACAAGTTTTGTTTCATGAAGACTAAAAAAGTGGCCTGGTTCACATAATGTTGTATTGCTGTATCTAAAAAGACAAGACTTTGTATGGATTAGCTTGTACCTGTGAACTCAATTAACCAGCAACAATCCAGATTTAAATCTGTATGAAAAAGCCCACACAGAAGTATGAGTCCAGTTAAATTGAAGTAAAGACATGAAACAATTTCGATATTTAATTAAATTTACTGATTTATAAAAGCATTTTTAAAGTGTCAGGAAAAAAGGAAAAACATTCAAAGCACAACACAGTTATTCAAAAAAATTCCAGAAGAGAGAGCGAGCAGGGGGACAGAAATCAGAGCGTGTGATTTTATCATCTCTAAAAGCAGCCCTCCCTTCCCTTTGACAGTGCTGAGTCGGCGGGGGGGCAGCATGGCCAGGCCCTGGCAGGACACTCCAATTAGGGAGGGGTGTAAACCCCCCACCTTGCCTAAACTGTGCCAGTCTTATCCCAGCTTGCTGCTTATGGGGCAGGAGTGCTGTCAGCCCCCTACTAGCACTGAGGCAAAATGTGGGTGTACAGCACATACATCTGTTCATGGTACTGAGCTTTTCAATCTCCCTCTCCCTGCTTCTTCATATTGTCTACAGCAAACCTGACAGGCGAGGGAGCCAGCAGGGAACTGATAACACAGTGTTTAGCAGTCAATCAAGACAAAAAGAAGTCTTTTTCATTAGTTCAAGTTCTTAAACAGCTTTTTACAAGGAAGGAACCGGATGGACATTACCAACTGACCTACTGATTAGCTCCCCTAAGTGGACACCATCCTGTCTGCCTTTGTCCCATCCCAGTGAAATTGGAGACACACACACATACAAAAACACCCTCAGCATTAGCTAGCATACCACATGCCTGCTAGGGTCCATGCTGTGGGAAATGGGAGGGAAGGAGATGATCTCTGCTTGAGCAGTGAGTAGCAAGGTGAGAGTGAGGCAGGGGGAAGCCAGGCAGACCCTGCTGTGCCTGCAGTCTCCACCAGAGCTCTGGCTAGGGAGCAGAGGGGTGGGGCCAGTCCTGATCTCTGGAACAGACAGCCCAGCCCAGCCCAGCCCTGCAAAGCATCTGAGACACTGGGGGACTCTGGTTTAACTTAAACCAGGAAGGAGTCTGGGACAGACATCACATAAACTGGTTTCACCCAAATAAACCTGATAATGCATTCAACCAGGTTTATCTTAAACCAGTTTCAAAATGGCTGAGACTGGTTTATGTGCACTGAACTTATATTCTATTACAGGTTTAAGCCAGTTTCTGATCACTTAAACTAGTTTATGTGCTGTATCTGTCTCTAGCCTTAGTGTCTTATCTCAAAAGGAGGATATGAAACCTGACAAAAGCATACACAGAATTCAGTTCCAACAAGCATTTCCTCCAACTGTGAAGAAAAATTGACTTAAGTCCTGAAATGCAAGGTTTTACAGCCCGTCCACAAATAGGCCTTCTTTTAGCATTAACAGTTATCACAATTTGGGGTATTATTGTTCATATATAATTATCTAATCCCTGGATCTCATCAAATTCTCTATTTCCTTAGCATGCTGGTACAGCTAGTCCACAGTCTAACCCCACACTGATCAAGATTAAGTATTTTCTTTCATCAGTTTTAAATGTGATACTTTCAATTTTATTTAACATACCTTTGCCCTTGTAAAAACAAGCTCCTGATTACCTATTTAATGAAGAGTGTAGAGCAAGTTACTCTTTATCATATTGCCTACTATTCATTTCCTAAGATAAAGCACTTTCAAAGGTTTCATTATGCAAGCATGTCTGCATGCCCTTTATCTTTTTCATCCCCTTCTCTACATCCACTTATTTTTGGTTACAACATCTATAAAAGGGTATAACTTCTCTGCACCCACATACTTTATAGTGTTGTACATGGCTTCTATGTAAAAGAATACTTTTTTCTGTATCACGTTCCAGCCTGTTTCATATACATCCTAGTATCTTGTTGGCTACTTCCATACTTACTTTTTTAAAGAAAGAAAGTCTCCACACACCTGCACCACAAGCATAGCCTGTACTTAATTTGCAGAATGTGCTGCCACAGGAAATTGTAGAGGAAGCCAGAATCACATAAAAAAGTAGGGCTGGAAGGGACCTCTAGAGGTCAGCTAGCCCAACCCACTGCTCAAGGCAGGACCATCTCTGTCCTCACAGTGCCATATAAATCCTTGTCTAACTACACAACGAACTCTGCTGCACAACTACAAGGCACATTGCGCAAAGACACCAAGAGCACTCACCTGCCACACATACACAAAGCAGGGGGACAACAGCTGTTAGTGTCCTGCTGCTGCAAGGTCTGTTAAAATGCACTTCAGATTCAAAGAAGAGGATCACGCCCTTCACTACAGAGGAAGTCAAAATCCCCTATGGTTAATAACAATCTGACCATGAAGTGAATATTCTTTCCTGTCCCAAATATGGTGATCCACCTGACCCTCAGCACAGGAGCAATACCCCATAACCCGGAATCTCTGGGCCTCAGTCCCAGCAGGAACACAGGTATGCCCCCGTCAAAATCCGACTGGCTGCAGCCAACAACCAATGCTTCTAAAAGAAACAGAAAAGGCCATGACACCTGTAGCAACTGGAGGGAAAAAATTCCATCCCAGCCTTCTATAGTAACAACAAAGCCCACAAGGATGGGAATACCCTCCCATCTGCTCTGCAACCTGGGAATAGCAAGCGTAACTCCATACATCACACCCTATTACTGAACAGCCAGAGCTCCCATTTTTCTACCCTGTCCATAAATTTATCCCAGTTCCTTTAATCATCTTTCATAGCCAAGCCAGTTGCAGAGCTCTGCTTTATTCTTCTGCTGCTGAGCATGGTACTTTCCAATATCAACCTGCTTGAGGCTTCCAGAGCTCCTCAAATTATCTCCTAGTAGTCTGGTGTGGAGGAGCTCCTAGGCTTCTAACTGTTACTCTTTAAAAAGCACTCTAGGCACAGTCAATCCAACATCAGTGGCTTTCAAATTGTGTTCCAGGATAGCTCATCAGGGACTCTACGGAGAGACTGGGGGTAATGGCAGAGCAGGCTGGAAGGTGGCGATTGTTATTGCCAAACCAGGTCACATCTGTCTTTGGTAGAGATTCCACAGCAGCAGAAGCTATCTCAAAGGGGTCTGTGACTTGAGGAAGTTTGAAAACCATCACCCCTGACCAATGCCTCCAAGGACGGGGAGTTCACAACATCCCTAATCTATTCCCATTCCTTACTGCTCCTGTTGTGAAGAAGTTTCTTTCCACCCAATCTAAACCTGACTTGCCGCAGCTTCAAGCTATTGGTACGCATCCTGCTCTATACAGCAATGGAAAAAAAGTACCGCCTTCTTTGTGGCAGCCTTTCAAATATCTGTAATCTCTCTCTCAAACACTTTCACATATAGAACATGCCTATGTCTTTCAACTTCTCATCATATGGTTTGCTTTCCAAGC